TTTTTGACGGTTTTTGATCAGTTTTAACCGCTCGGATCTCCTGAAAGCCTATAAATACAGCCCCTGGAGCCTTATTTTTTAGATCTAGAATTCTCGTGCCTCGGCGAAGCCCTGTCGGATTGAAGACTTAAAGTGCGCAGATTTCAGAGAGGAGGAGGAGTTAGATCTGCAGCCCGGTTCGTTCCTTAGGATTATCCCATTGCGGTAATCTTAAGAAGAGTGATTATCTCGCTTCGCCGAGATAAGAGCTACAGTTTCTCGATCCCTTCGCGGATAGACGAAACTCTGTCCAAATATTGATCGTTCGGTGGTCCACGGACTAACGCGTCCCCGTCACAGGCCAAGATCCCACGCAAGCAGCGGACGATAAACACTCGTTGCGTTTGTTTGAAGAGAATTGTAATTTTTTTATTTTCATTGTGTAAAAGTCTTATAAAAACATTGATTTTTGTTTTCGTTGTAAACGTCTGAAGTTTGTAATGAATCCCGCAATGAATCAATCAATTTTCACCGCAAATAGGCATGTGCGACCCCTAACGCGATGAGTCACTCGGGGTTCATTTACCGGACCAAGGCGTTCTTTGACCGGAACTTTGTCTCAATTCTCGTGCGAAGGACCAAGGCGGTCAGCCATTGTCATCTTAAATCGGGAGAGATCCATGCTACCGTGGGACTTTATTAGGGGTAAAGGATCAACGGGGGCAGGAGCGGAACTCGACAGAAGTGGAGAAATAATCACGGGAGCCAACCTGGCTCGGCTCTGGCACGGGTCACCTTGAGGTGACTTATGGCTGGCCGGGTCACATTGAGGTGACCCACACCTCAAGATCGGGTCACCTTGCGGTGATCTGTGTTTTTCGATCTTTTCGGTCGCTATTTTGGACTTGGGCCTCTATACTTAGCGTGGTTTTGGTGGTTTTTTTGCCACCTCTTCCTTTTGCAATTTCTGTGCCTCTTGCATGAGAATCCACGTGTGCGCGAGTAGTGCGCAACGCTCTAAATACGCTCCTCGAGAGTCGAACGGGTCCTTTTGATACGGACACATTCATCAGTTGATGGTTTGGATGAAGATCCATTTGCTCGTTGCTGAGGTGCTTGGCATTTCCTGAATTCCAGATCCACCTTATAACGAATCCCATCAACCGACTCCAAGGCCTTGGCTAGTTGACGCGTAAGGCGTTGGCGTTATTTTTGACGAGCCCTCTTTGATAGAATCGGTACGCCTTTAGCACTCAACTCCTTGATTGTGGAGGAGTTCAAATCTGTAGATATGGCTTAATTGGACGCCGGAGGGGCGTTGAAAGGGGCAACTGCAATAATAATGGGATGATGATCATCATCCTGGGTCTTCATATCTGAAGACCAGCGGACCTTCCTGGAAGAGGAGATCTTCCTGTACTTACAAGGGGAGGAAGATCTAGAAGAAGACGATGAGTTTTCCTCGTACTTCTGTTGGTCGAACTCGTACTCGACCTTTGTATCAACCGGGATTAGGATCCTTGATTGCGACATTACAACCTCGACAGGGAGGTTGTTGGCTCCCACTGTGGTCGCCAGCGTGTTTGCGTCGAAAGTTATTTTTTTTATTTTATGACTCATTACGACATGAGTCGTTACAATATATTCGAAAGGAAGGACTTTTTATAAAATTTCTTACACAATGAAAATAAATAAAAGATTATAACTTTCTTTAAAACACACGAAGAGGACGCTTATCACCTGCTGCTTGTGTAGGGTTTTTGCCTGTGTCGGGGTTTATCTGTGGACTATCACGGGTCAGATCCGGTTGATCGGAAGGCTAAATGTTCGTTGCTTCACGAAGGAAACAAGAACAGAAGTAAACAATCTCAACCAAGTGAGATCACTACTCTTCTCAAGATCAGTACAAATTCTAATCTTAAGGAAAGGTAGAACGAGCCTCGGATCTCTCGAAATGCTCCTTCTTTATGCCGGAGTTCACCAAAATCTGCTAGCCCTCCTCTAAAATTCGTGGGATTCACTCTCTAAACTGACAGCACCTCGCCCTTCTTTTTGAATTTCAGATCCCCTGCGTATAGTAGCCTATGCTTGTATTTATAGGATTTAGTTGCGGTGTTTTTGGATAAGAACAAGCGATTTGGCCTCATCTTCAATTAATAACGGCCTAACCACGTTTAGGGATGATATCCAAAGCAGTTGGAAGGCTCTGGATCGAATAAATTCTAAGAAAATATCGAAATACGCGTTTTTAGGAACTGGGGTGCGAGTCAGTTCAATGTGACCCGCGGGTGTGAGGGTCACATTAAGGTGACCCGCAGGTCCGAGGGTCATATCAAGGTGACCCGCACGAGTGCTGGTCACTTTGATGCAATTTCCAAGCGACTATGTTTTGTTTTGGTATTGTTTTGTCGTTTTGCGCACGTTTCGACATTTCTTTGACTCGTATGCTTTGCCAACTCGCTTTGCTTCTTTAGGTATCGGATAATCCTCTTTTGACTCAGATAATGACGTTCATCAACTTCTCTTTATTTTGAACTGTGTGTGAAAATCTATAGGCAATTTTTGATGCCTGCAACATGAAACATGAAAATTACTGTCACCAAACTTAAAATTTAAAATTTTGAAAAATACTCTCAATATTTAAAGAAAGCAAAGCACACCCTCAAAAAATAAAAAAAGGACCAAATTTTCAAAAAGTTTCCAAAAAAAGAGTAATTGTTTGATATTCTTTCATTAAGATGTGTAAATTTACTTTAATTTAAGATTTACTATCCCTTTTAGCATCTAAAAAATAACAATATCAATAAATTAAACATCCATTTGGGGAACAAAATTTTAAAAAATATATGATAGATTAAAAATTAACGACATTGTATAAATTAAAGTAACTACTTATAATTTTACTAATAATTTAGAGCAACAAAAAAACATAAGTAATATTAATTAAAAAAATACTAGTCATAAGAAATCTAGCTCTAGCCTGATGTCACAAATATAGACGATGAAGACAATGCTCTAGAATTGCATAATAAAAAGATAAAGATGGAGAAGGATTGATCTTGGCTCAATAAAAAAAGAAATAAAAGGAATAAATGATAATATTTTTTAAGTATTTTATAGAATAGTTTAATTTTTTGAGTAAAATTATGAATATTTAGAAGGGATTTTCGTGAATATTTGTAGTACTTTTATATGCTTATATGGATGTTTTTATCATATAAAATAAACTAGAGTTAACATTAATCTTTAGTTTATGATATTTTATAAAGTTTATCAATGAATAGGAACAAACTCCATATTCTCTTTTCTTTCATTTAACCCACTTTTAAGCGATCATTTTGGCTTTTAATGCTATTTTAAGGTGTTTTTCACTTTTGCAACGTTGTATTTTCTCAAGTCAAACTTCATTTCATGTTAGTCCAAATAACATGAAAATTTAATTTGGCTTTAGATTGTATTTATTTCGTGTAAATTCGGTTATCAACATGAAAATTTAAATTAGGTGCAGCCTATTTAGACAAAGATAAAAAAAATCGCAATGTCAAAGTTTAGAGACATAAGGTCCCGTTTGGCAAATGGTTAAGGAAGAGGGGTTAAATAAAAGGATTAATATACTTATCCCATTCGATAATCTGAAGGACTAAATTAATAACCCGTTAAATAAGTTTTATTTTAGCCATTGTGATCAGTTTTAGTGTTTGGGAATAATAATAATTTTGACTATTTTCTTTATAATTAGAAGGGTTAACTTTTAATCTTTCTAAATAGTAGCATTAGTAAACCCCTCATTTTGAGGGGTTAACTCATTTTAATCCCTCTAGAGGGGTTAGCTTAACCCTTCTATATTTTTTAATATTTGGCAAATTATAGAGGGTTAACTCACTTTAACCATTGTATAGATTTTTTGTGTTTGACGGGTTAAGAAGGGGTTAAGTCTCCTTAACCCCTCACTTAACCTTTTACCAAATGACACCTAAGTGAACAAGGCTGAGGGATAACTTTTAGTAAGAAAATAAACTAAAAGTACTTCATTATGGTATTTAAGCATGTGCATTTGCATGTGCATAAAAACTAGTTAATGTCAAAATTTTAAGTTATTAGCTAAAAACCAATCCTCTCCATTGGATCTAGATTCATCCAATGGCTGAGATTATAATACTATTACAGCTGCCTAAGGGTAATCAGGTAAAATTAACAGCCACCAAAGAGAGGTAATGAATGCCTGTCTGTTGAGTTCTCCATGCAAGTGTAGTTTTCCATTTTCCCATGTAATCTCACGGCTTAGGCAACCCATCAGTCACGAATAGCAGATCACTCACTCCACAACCAGCAGATCTCGTTCATCGTCCTTCAGCTCTCTCTCAATCGAGAAATCGTCTTCTAGTCACTCCACAACCAGCAAATCTCCTTCATCGTCCTTCAGCTCTCTCATTCATCGTCCATCAACTATATTCTTAAACATTTTATGGAGATTTAAATGGAGAGCTTGAATTCAGGTGAGCAGGTTCTAGTTGTATTTACATGTTTACTCTAGTGAATCTAGATTCAATGTAGTGAATCTAGATTCAATGTAGTGAATCGAGATTCACTCCAGTGAATCCAGATTCATTGTAATGGATCCAGATTCAGTATATCAAAATTTAGTCATATGACTTATTATCTAGGAGCTTACATTCTTAAACATTTTATGTAGATTTAATTGGAGAGCTTGAATTCAGTTGAACATGTTCTAGTTGTTAGAGACAGCAGTGATTTTCATAATGTATTCACATGTTTACTGTAGTGAATCTGGATGCAATGCATTGAATCCAGGTTCACTATAGTAAACATGTGAATACATTATGATCACTGCAGTCTCTAACAACTAGAACGTGTTCACCTGAATTCACATGTTTACTGTAGTGAATCTGGATTTATTGCAGTGAATCGAGATTCACTCCAGTGAATCCAGATTCATTGTAATGAATCCAGATTCAGTATATCAAAACTTAGTCATATGATTTATGTTGTTTTATTTTTAGTTGTAGGCAGCAATGAACAAATAAAGGAACCACATGTTATAAATGCATCAGACAGTAATTTTGGGGAAGATGGAATGGACGAAGTTAGCTCGATTCCTTTTCAATCACCAGGTGATGGTATGTATTGGAAACCTCGGGTTGAAGCTGAATTTAAACCTTATCTAAACCAAAGCTTCCGATCACTAGAGGATTGAGATCAGATGGCATACAGAGAAGAAACATGAGGACGGTACAGTTCTTCTTAAACACATTGTTTGCAGTAGAGCTGACAGCAATGAATCAAAGATGGATGTTGATTTTGAGGATTTTAGTAGCATTTCGAAAAAGAGAAGGAGAACTGTATCTAGTAGATGTAGTTGCAAAGCTAAAGTCGTTTTTAAGTTCGATGGTTTGAAAGGATATAATGTTCTCTCATTCATTGAAGAGCATTCTCATTTTTTGGTGTCCGGGAGTGGGAAACAATTTTTGAAGTCAAATAGAGTTCTGGGTCTCGCACATAAGAAACTTGTATTTGTTGGTGCAAAAGCCAACATGGGGCCTAACAAAACATATAACTTTGCTAAGGAGTTGTGTGGAAGTTATTCTAATGTTGGTGCTACGTGTACCTGTACCGAGTTTAAAAATTAGAGTAGGGATGTGAAGCTTTATATTGGTGATCGAGATGCTCAAATGATCATTGAGAAGTTCACGGATAAGAAGGAGATGTGTGATGGATTTTTCTATGATTATGCAGTCGATGAAGGAGGTCGATTAACTCGCATTTTTTGGGCAGATGTTATTGGACGAAGAAATTATGATGTATTTGGAGATGTGATATCATTTGACTCTACATATTCCACAAAAAAGTAAGATTTTATAGTTAATCTCTTACGATTTTCAATATTGGAATTATATATCATAGTGAATCTTATATTTTTTGTATGTGATACAAAAGGTACAACATGAAGTTTGTTCCATTCACTGGTCTCGACAATTATGAGAAGTGTTGTGTATTTGCAGCAGGATTGATAACTAAAGAGGACATTGATAGCTATGTCTAGATTTTTGAGGTATTCATGAAATGCATGATTCGCGAGCCAAAGTGTATTGTTACAGATCAATGCCCTGCCATGAAACAAGCTATACCAACCGTCTTTAAAGAAGCACGTCACCGTTTGTGCATGTGGCACATCATGAAGAAATTTAATCAAAAGGTAATGAATCCCACATATAAATATAATGAATCCTCATTAGATAAATACTGAATCTTTCGTTATATATTTATATTGTAGTTGGCAAAATGCATTTCGAAGATGGATGATTTCAAGAGGAAGATAAATGCACTGATTTGGAGTATAGATATAGATCCAGCAATATTTGAAGTAGGTTGGAAAGATGTTATGAAAGAATTTAAGCTTGAAAGTAAAGAATGATTGTGTGAACTATATAACATTCGGGAGTCATGGATTCCAGCTTATTATGCTGATGATCCAATGGTTGGTTTATTGCGTACTACATCAATATCAGAGAGTGAGAACAGTTTCTTTGACAAATTCAACCATAGATCTGACACATTGACAGAATTTTACCTCCGATACGAGAGTGCTATGGATAAGCAAAGGCATACAAACGTAAGATTAAACTATGAAGGAAAAAAGTCGATGCCAAGAATGGACACGCCATTGTTATTGGAGAGGGATGCAGCAGAGTTGTACACTCGAACAATGTTTTATGAGGTACAGAAAGAGATAATGTCATCCTGTTATGATATGAGTATCAACAGTATATCAGAACAAGATGGTGTGAAGATTTTTTCCATGAAGGACAAAAAGAGACATGGAAAAATGTTTGAGGTAAAAGTTAATAATGGAGATTGAAAAAATAAAAATTGAATCGCGATTCAATAGAGTGAATTGCGATTCAATGAAGTGAATCTTGATTCACACCACTAAATCGCGATTCAGTGACTATTTCATGCGCTTGTCATTTTCTTTTTTTATTCGGTGCTAATATACATTGTTTTTTGAATTTTAGGTGAAACACATTGTTTTGAACAATGACGTGCAATGTACGTGTTGGATGTTTGAGAAAATGGGTATAGTAGTGAGACATGGTTTTTTTTGCACTGAACCAAGCTGATGTAACAAAAATACCAAGACATCTTGTTGTGAACCGATGGACCAAAGGTGCTGAGATGAGGCATTCATTGCAGTTCAAGGAAATATCAGAACAGTGCAATGCAATTGAAGTTACAAATCGCAAGTTGAATAACATATGGTATGATTTCCAATCCCGTGTGAGTTTGGCAGGTTTAGATGGTGAGAGACTTGACTACTTGGAAGGGAAGTTGAAGGAGTTGAAGCACAGTTTGCGTGAATCTAGTTGGAAATCTGACACACAAAACAAAAATAATGTAATGGAGTTTTTTGTTGGCTAAAAATACCAGCTGAAGTGATTGTTAAACCTCCCATTAAAGCTAGAAACAAGGGGTGTGGACGGAGAATTGTTGGTGATTATGAGAAATCAATTAGTCAACGAAAGAAGAAGGTGCCAAGGCTGTGTAATATGTGCAAAAAACTCGATTTCCATGACACACGGACATGCCCATTAAAGAAAACATTATAGCAGAGTGATGTTTAATTTAGTTGTCATATTTCGTTTCAAAATCATGTTTAATAATACATTTCTTATTAGTGTTAGCCCTTATGTTTTGATGATATTTTACAACCACCATTATCGGTACTAATGGCTTATTAAGTACAAATGTAGTGAATTCATATATCAAGCTTATTAGTGCCACTAATGGAGGATTGGATGGAATATGCGCTACAACGATGATATCCAAAGGAGGAGGAGGCATAATGATGAAGCAATGTTATTTCAAGAACAACAAATTCATATAGAAGCTTCATCAAATTCAAGCTATATCAAGACTCAAGCATTGCATTCTATATAAGGATATTAGCTATCTTTTATTATTCTCTCTCTACTGCTAGAATGTAGGCAAAGAGTTATTGACTTCACTTGAAGCTATTGGGATATCACACAAACACGTTTTCATACTTGTTTCTAAGCGTTTTTCACGAAATACTATTTTTCAAAAGTATGAGGTCCTATCTGCAAAATTCCTTTTCCAAACAATTTGTTTTTAGCATTAAAAACATTTTACAAAGTTTCATAATTTTTCGAGATCAAATAAATATTTTACAAATATTTTTGTTGAGTCTAAAACAGTGTTTTGGGATGTATCAGAATGCGGTCAACCGCACTTATGTACATTCCTCTCTGGGCAGCAGAGAGTTCGTCAGTCGACCACTGCGGTCGACTGAGAGCTTCCTTCGGTCGACCGCACCGGTCGACCGGATAAGTCTCTGCTTGTTTTTCTCGTTTTTGATCTGGATAGCGGTCGACCGAATTTTCCGTCGGTCGACCGAACTTTTCCGTCGGTCGACCGAAATTTCCGCCGGTTGACTGTCGTATTATTCAAATGGTAAAATGTGTCCTTTTTGTGGCGCCGCTCAGTACAGATCTCAGCAACGTTTTGTTCCAGAATTTGGGGGATTAAGTGATGGGTTTAAACAGTTGTTTTTCTTCTATTTAAACTTTACCTCTTCTTCTTCCTCAGTGTCCCAGCTTTTCCAAAAACCAGAGACCTTTGTTTTCACTGAGCAAAATTTTCAAACTGTTCTTTATGTGTTTTTGTGTGTTCTCTTCCCAGCTTCAGTGTGCTCTTTCTCTTTGCCATAGGGACGTTGTAAAGAGAGAGTCTTACACCATTTGGGCTCTCACTGCTGAGGAGGTAGGCGAATACGATAGAAGAATTCGCAAACGAAAACCCGTTGCAGCTAAAAATTCCAAGAAAGCTAAGTTGATGGGGGATGCTATGAAGTCTGCAATTGCTTCGTCTCCCGAAAACAGCGGGGAGACTATGCCTCCAGCTGCTCCTCCTAGTCCTGAAATCCCCACAAGTGAGCAGGGATTGACCGTCCCAGGTTCAGTGCCAAATGTGCCTGAAAAGCTACCATCTGAAGCTGATCGTGTGGGGATCGCTGTGTAGACGAAGTTCCGGCTTCCAAACCGGGTTGTGTAGTGGATTTCTCCTCTAGAGTGGGGAGCGGGGACGTAGTGATAGACCCTAGAGGGGGGGTGATTAGGGTCTTATGCTAATCTAATCCGATTAAATGCCAATTAAAAATTAATTAACAAATTATCCTAGCAAGTAAGAAATACAAGAAGATATATGAGCTAGGATAAGCAATAAGAACAACAAGATATATATCCTATATGATAAATATATGCAAGGATATATAAACTAGCACAAGATGATATATCCTACCAAAGAGATATACAAGATATATGCAAGGATATGTATACTAACATAAGGGTAAACAAAAAGAACTAGATAGTGGATAATAAAAATAATGAGCTATGGACAATGGCGATAAGAAATAATGAACGCCAAAGCACACTCAAACACAATCAAATGATCACGGAGTTCGGACCTTTCGTCCTACGTCTCCGCTCCCCACTCCTGGGGAGAAATCCACTATCACAACCGGGTTTTCTACGCTCACCCGAATAATGTTTACACCTCACAGTGTCGGTTTTCAACGCTCACCGATCAACGTCACTCCTCACAATCGGTTTTCTAGTTCACCGAAAACTTCACAACACACTCGGTTTTCTAGCTCACCGAAAACCTTACATAACTCTCAATGTAACAAATATAAATTTGTTCTCTACAATAGATGAGAACACAATTAGGCACAACTCAATGTTACAATCTCTCACAACCCTAATATACTATGTATGCAAATACAATAAGCTCAAGTGGTTGTGTGTAACAATAAAATAAAATCAAATCAACTAAACTCAAATATAAAATCTAGCTTAAGAACAATGATAATCAAACAAGTATATAAATGTAAAGCTAGAGTTTGAGTTTACAAAACTTCTCAATTGATAACAAGAGATGGAGGGAGAATAGTTAGAAGCTCAAACTTCAATAGATAATCTCCTCAAGCTCTTGTGGAATTGATTCACAAAACCGAAACACTCAAATGCTTAAAAGCTTCTTAAAACAAACTTAAACAAACACTAAACAAGTTTAAACCCTTGTTAAAATCTTTTAAACCATTCTCTTAGATATCTTTGAAAGAGAGCCGCAATAGGGTATTTATACCCACTCAAAAACTCAGCCAAAACCCCCAAGCAAAAGTCCAAAAAGCCCAGAAAAAATCGGCTCAGAAAATAGCCGTTAAGAAAGCAACGGTCAAATCGACGGTCGACTGGAAATTCCTACAGTCGACCGATGGAGCTTTTGGTCGACCGGACCGGTCAACCGACAAACTCTCTGCTGCCCACTGACGGCTGAACAAATGAGCCGTCGACCGGATCGGTCGACCGAAAACTGATACATGAAAATATGATTTCCTGATTTTAAAACCCTGTTTAAAAATATCAAATAAATTTCAAAAAATGTAAAACTTTGGGGAATGATTGTAGACATGATAATAAACATGCTACAATGTTTAGTAATACATTTCTTATTAGTGTTAGCCCTTATGTTTTGATGATATTTTACAACCACCATTATCGGTACTAATGGCTTATTAAGTACAAATGTAGTGAATTCATATATCAAGCTTATTAGTGCCACTAATGGAGGATTGGATGGAATATACGCTACAATGATGATATCCAAAGGAGGAGGAGGCATAGTGATGAAGCAACGTTATTTCAAGAACAACAAATTCAAATAGAAGCTTCATCAAATTCAAGCTATATCAAGACTCAAGCATTGCATTCTATATAAGGATATTAGCTATCTTTTATTTTTTCTCTCTAGTGATAGAATGTAGGCAAAGAGTTATTGACTTCACTTGAAGCTATTGGGATATCACACACACACGTTTTCATACTTGTTTTTAAGCGTTTTTCACATGTTTTTCTCGTTTTTGACCTGGATAGCGGTCGACCGAATTTTCCATCAGTCGACCGAACTTTTCCGTCGGTCGACCGAAATTTCCGCCGGTCGACCGCCGTATTATTCAAACGGTAAAATGTGTCCTTTTTGGGGCGCCGCTCAGTACAGATCTCAGCGACGTTTTGTTCCAGAATTTGGGGGATTAAGTGATGGGTTTAAACAGTTGTTTTTCTCCTATTTAAACTCCACCTCTTCTTCTTCCTCAGTGTCCCAGCTTTTCCAAAAACCAGAGACCTTTGTTTTCACTGAGCAAAATTTTCAAACTGTTCTTTCTGTGTTTTTGTGTGTTCCTTTGTTTTCACTGAGCAAAATTTTCAAACTGTTCTTTCTGTGTTTTTGTGTGTTCTCTTCCCAGCTTCAGTGTGCTCTTTCTCTTTGCCATAGGGACGTTGTAAAGAGGAGTCTTACACCATTTCTACTATCTTGTGAGTGTGATCTTGTGTAGATCAACTGTGAGGGAGTGTGATCTAGAAAGATCAATTGTGTAGTGTGAGATCGTGTGGGGATCGCTGTGTAGACTAGGGGTGTGCAACGGTCGGTTCGGTTCGGTTTTTACCAAAATTTGAACAACCGAACCGAACCGCCTATAATTCAAAACCGAACCAAATTGTTGCAAGTCGGTTCGGTGCGGTTCGGTTCGGTTTGTTCGGTTCTAACTTCATCAAACTTCTTATCAAACAACAAATTGTGTTAAAGAAAAAAAATATCAACAAAGTAGAAGATTATGAAGCATTAAACACTGATATAATGATATTGTTTTCAACCCATAATAATCCAGAAAATGAGTTTAGAGTTTGAGTTTTTGACTCTTTGGTGATGGTCGGGTAGGGTTTGAGATCAGAATGGGTAGTATTACACTATATTCGGTCGGTTCGGGGCGGTTCGGGTCGG